CTTTGATTAAAGCTCGCGCACCAGCAATGTGGCTCATGCCTTGAATTGGTCGGCCAGACATTAACTCGTAGATGTTCAGGAGAATCGCCGTAGTTGCGCATAGAGCCGAGTCACGATCAGGGTCTTGTAATGAGCGAAGAAGATATTGTGAGGCGACATTGTGATGTTCTGCGGCCTTCTCCTCCCCGTATGAGGCGTCCACGTGGAAAAGATGCCTCGCACCGCATGCTAACAGGGCTTTGAGAAGCATAGGTTCTTCGAGCGCATGGAATGGCAGAATATGCGTGAACTATGAAAATAAGCAACTGACGACACGTCGCAAGAATCGACGACTTACATGTTTCACCGCATCCATCGAATCCATCCATAGCCCGACCTCTTCAACGAATACCTGCAGCAGGTATACTTCCTCTGGGTTGTTGAGACAAGTATGGTTGGTGGCATTTATATGACCATCTTTTGTGGATCTGAACGGGGCAAAGGATGCACTCTGGTCGTAAAAAGCAGGGGCATTTGGTGGGCCGCTAAACGGTCCTGCCAGACTCCCGGACTGGGGCGTCCCGAAGCCATGTACGAATGAGGCACTCAGACTAGGAGTCAGACAAGGCCCTGTCGCATTCCCCTTTTCCAACGAAGGTTCCGCCACTTCGGGAGGATATCTCTCAATCCCGCCCACATATTCAGACGCTATAAGCCGCGACTCATCCCGAAAGGTCACACCCGCCGCTGGTATACGGACTACGCAGTGCGGGGGTGTCGATTTCTGGATATCTATGAAGTTTAAGCGAATTCCACGCCTGCACACTCTGCCCGACTTCCGGCAGTTCTGGCATCGGTGCAAAGCTTCGTCGCACTTCAGGTGACGTTCTCGACATGTTAGGCAGCCTGTCCGCACTCGCCTCGGCTTCGCAAGGACAATCTTGCTTTTTCGCTTGGCGGCTGACGGGCGTGGCGCATCCAACGATGTGCTGTTTGGTGTTGAAACTCCGCCCTCGTCAGATGGGCTCGTGTCTTGTGTGATAGCCTCGGTCGTAACAGCCAAACTGTTTTCGTCGAGATCGAACTCTAGTATATCGGTGATCTGCCCTGAAGCGGTCAGGTCCAGTGAAAGATCCAGGTCCGACGGGACAGAGACATGGTCGCTGAGAGCTGACGCCATGTCAGGCTGCTTCAATCAACGATAACCCGTCCAGCCTGAATCACAGTATATCGTCCAGTCTTGGGTTATGATCACCAGCAAACCCCAAATTCAGCCCCCGAAACTGTCACTCCCGAGCATTCTGCCAACCACAAGATCTATAGCGCCGTCCGGCCTCCTAACGCAGCACCACTTCACATAGATATTCGGGGCCGATAAGATAAGTGACGTAGTTGACAGGGATGGCCAACTCTGAACGAAGATTTGCGCACGATTCGAAGGTTTTCAAGGTGACACCGAAATTTAAATGCATAGGCACCGGTATTTGGAAGCGATCTAAGGGTCGTTGATCTGCTCGAAATTGCTGTTAGCTTATGGAAAGTAATATAAAATAGCGTGCAGTCACAGTCAGACCTTATGGATTAACAGCAGAAGGAGACAATGAAGTGTCGTCAACCAACTCACACTGGCAATAGAGAGACAGACACCGGGGAATCTCAAAAGATCCGCGGGGAATCGTGACTCCGGGTAGGAGAGACTAGTCCCAGAATGGTCTAGGCGACCGATCAATACCGCGGCAGAACAAAGAAGCGATACGGTCCCGCTCAATTATTTCAATTCATAGTCTACTTGAAGTGGCATCTTTCACAAATTCGTATTTTCAATTTTATGATTTGCTGTAAAGTGTTCGCATCTCTTTATAAAAGCTCGCAATTTTGTGCAACATTACCTTTATCCAGAACTTTTGGCATTGGGTCGTAAATCAATGAGGTCTTCAGCAACGTGCTGCTCAGATAGCAGCTGCAAGAGAGGTCTATGTTATCGCCGTCTACATTCCTTCGGTCAACTCCATGTACTGTAGCAGATCAGCAGCTCAAGTTCTTATGCTTTAGTTCCCAGTCTGGGTACTCGGACTCGAAGGTGCAGAATGAGCATAAGAGCACCCCAGATGGCAGCAGAGAAGAAAGTAGCGCGAAGGGCAGCAGCATACGCTCCGATCACTAGTCAAGTTTCAGTATCTCTAACGTCCAAGGGTACATATATCCAAAACTTACCTTGTTGCTGATGCATTGAATCGAGTTTCGCGATTGCTTGTACGGATTTACGAACAAGGAGGATGACATCCTCCTTGTTTGGTCCGGTGACCATCTCTTCGAGTTGATACACGAGGGTGTTCTGGAAGATCCAGCTGCTGGTTGCGACACCCATCACCGATCCGAGATTTCTCCACAAACCCAAGGTCGTCGTGGCCACGGCCTGGTCCTCTTGATCAGTAGTGGCAAGAACCGATACCATTAGCGAAGGGAAAGAGCATCCTTGTCCGAGACTGGAGAGCGAAACGCAAACCATCGCAAGCCAATCGGGCGTACCGACGCCCATGGAAGCAGCAGCGCAACCACCGAGCAGTAGAAAGATGTCGCCAAAGATAATGGTTGGCTTAAGCCGTTTAGTCCAAGTGATGATGAAGCCTGTCGACACACTGGAGATCGTCACCGCAAGAGTTGAGCCAATTAGCCTGAGACCCGAGTCAGTCGGAGTAGCTAGCTTGACTGCCTGAAAATACAGGGGCGCATTGAAGACCATAGTGTTAACGGAGATGGCGCCGAAGAAGTTTCCAAAGATAAGGCTGGCACGAGGCTCCTGTACCAATAGCGAAATTGGCATAACTCCCCGCTCCACGGTCCGCTCATAGCGAACAAAAACAACAGCTAAGATGAAGGATGAGATCAAGGATGTGATAACAATGGGGTGAGTCCAGCTCAACACATTACCACCCAGATTCAGTCCCATAATCAATGAAGTCACACCGACGACAAGTATGAATGAGCCGACAATGTCAATGCTCTTGAGGAGCTGCATCAGACTCTTCCTCTCTGTTTTGGCCCTCTTCAAGCCCAGGTCGGCAGGGGTTGTCCAAGCTGCCACGATGAAGTAAACAAAGATGAAGGGCAATTGCACGAGGAACGCACCTCTCCACCCCACTTGGTCGCACAGGAACCCGCCGAATGCCAAGCCAAGGCAACCACCAATGCCCAGACAGAGGTTGATGTAGGACTGATAGACGCCTCGGTATTCAAGGCGCACTAGATCACTGGAGAGAATCATGCCCATGGAGAACACACCACCAGCTCCGAGTCCGCAAAACGCTCGAGCAGCGATGAAGCTGAACATGCTTTGGGCGGCTGCGCACCATGCCGTTGTGACGAAAAAGATGGCAATGGCGAAAAGGTAGACTGGCTTCCTTCCAAATGTGTCAGAAATGCGCCCAAAAAGCGGGAGGAAAGCGGTAGATGTCAATAGGAACGCGGTCGATAGCCAAGATGCGGAGTTCGAAGCGTGGAAGTAGGAGGTTATAACAGGGTGACTCGAAGCCATCAAGGTGGAGTCAAAAAATCCGATCACGTATCCCATCATGATACCAGAGAAGATAAGCCAGAATCTCATGGGTGAGACATTGATGAACCGTGAAGCATAGCCAGTAGGCTCACCGGCAACTCCATCTTCAGCATCTCCGGGCACTTGTTTCTGGCTCACTGGAGCAGAAGGGAGTCGCTCGAGATTAGGTTCAATATCGAGCCCTTGCGGGATTGAGGTGACTCTGGAGAGACTAAGCAACGCCGGGTCTTCCTCGGGGGCGCAGAGGGTTGAGGACAGGCTTGGATCAACATCCTTATCTACAGTCGTATCCTCTTGACTGATATATAATGATTGACGGGAAGATTCATGCAACAGTGGCGTAGACTCAGTAGCTTGGAGGGAAGATGGTGGCTTTCCATCTGTTGCATGGGGAGAAGTCATAATCGCAGTAGATGCGGTGAAAGAGATTGGATCAAATAATCACTCTAGAATACGACTTTGGAATCAACTTAAAGATCATAGAACATAGTATATGAAACTGAATATCAAACTTTGTTCATACAAAGAAGAAAAAGATAATGGAGAAAGGAAAGGAAAGGGAGCAGCCTACAAAGGGAGGTGTAATTCAGACGGGCAGACTGGCTGAGACAAATTTTATAGAGGGATTTTCTGGTGAGTGGCACTAAAGAATGCATGCTGCGGCACGGTGGATTCCCTCCCGCACGGAACTATGGATATGACTCGACTCGGTCAGCCTTTGCCTCCTCGACCTAATTGCGCGGAAAGACCAACCCATTCTCCACCGATTTGGACGGCTGCATTGGTTGGTTCAAAGGCACGAGGAGCCCAAAAATTGACTTGCCCGTCAAAGTTCTTCAAGATTCATGGTAGACATGAAGCCAACAAACCCTGGAAGCTGTTTTGATAAGCGCAGTTAGCGGCATTGCTGCCTCCAACCCCTCATCTTTTAGTATGGATTTAGGATGCATGTGGACAGGATCCTTCTTGATGCACGCAAATGAGTGTCTTGCTCGTGCTGCGATTTCGGCCCACTCCCAGAACATCACGTGTGTCTACTCTTGCTGATTGGCTCAACTGCAGTCATCGGACTCCAAACCGTGTATGCACACTGCATGGTCTAACCTAAATGGGGATAGCGGCCCTCACAGCGATACCGGCAGAGTACATCTCGGTAAGGCATCAATACCGAGTGGACTATCCACTACTTTAGCACTTATCTATGGGGATGCAGTAGTCACCTGTGTCATCTGCGGAGCTGATGGCGTGCGAACTGTCAGGCCCAGGTACCATCATCTCTCTACCAATGGTTACTTTTCTCTTATGACATTGATCGGACCACTAGCCGAGCTCTGTCATTTTCCGAAGCCAAGGATGAGTGATTTCTTTTAGACAGGTGAAGAGAATGAAGCCGCCGGTACTGCCCAAGTCAATGGATCAGCCTTAGCAGATGACACAGTGCTGTATGCATGCAGCTTGCATGTTCAATAAATAAGTGCTGCTGAAAGAACCCTGCCACATTGCACCAACTAGTTGCAGGATTCAATTCCGACTGCATGCGGTGTGCAACTGGATACTTTGTATTCGTCTCTGCCCAATGCTTGAACAAGATTTACTCTTCATCCCTCCAATCACCTCCAATCCAGAAAGCAAGAGCCATCCGGCGGCCGCTTTGCTATGACATCCTCCCCGCATCAAGATGCATGATCAACCACTACTTGCAAAATTTTAGTCAAGGCCATCCTATCAGGTGCACCGTGTATACTCCTTATCAATAACACTGCATTGTCTTTTGAGAGATTTTCAAGAGAGACATAGAACCTCTTAAATAAAAGACTTTGGATGGAATCGGTCCGAGCGGGAGGCACAGCCGAAGGAGGTGGCGGGACTGATAACAGACTAGCGCATTCGATAAGAGGGTCCAACGGTGATTCATACACCAGATTTACCTGTCCAGGCCACCATTTCCGACACAGTCATTACGCATATCCAACAAGGAGATCGAACCATAATCTGCGAACAGCTGGCATCGCAGCAACTTACTTTTCAACCTGCTCCTGCAGCTGCTTTCCTCTCCGGCCTCTGCCTTCGAATCACCGGATTACCCCTCCCTCCACCACAATGCCCCCGCTTCGTATCGCCATCCTTGAATGCGACACCCCAGTCGAGAAAGTAAACAACACATATGGAGGCTATCGCGGTGTATTCTCCCTCCTACTCCGTGAAAGTGCTGCAGCACTAGGTCAGCCCGATAAGCTAGACCCAGAAACCGGCCTCGAGATTAGCGGCTGGGACGTGGTGACGGCGCAAGAATACCCCAACCTGGAGGAGGTAGATGCAGTTGTTTTGTCCGGGTCCAGTAAGTTACTTTACCTGTCCCTTCCTTCCCTTATTCCCGCGCATCGTGCATCATGCACTCTCTCTGCAAGGCGCTCCCTGTGACTCATAAGTCTCCTAGAACATGATTCTTTCGAGAACCACCCATGGATCCTGAAGCTGGTTGAATTCACCAAGAAAGCTTTCGAAGACAAGCGCGTTAAGATATTTGCCATCTGCTTCGGCCATCAGATCCTGGCACGTGCTCTTGGCGCCAGGGTTGGTCGCAACACTGCAGGATGGGAAATTGCAGTGTGTGAGGTGGACTTGACTGAGACGGGAAAGGAGTTGTTCGGGAGGGATAAGCTTGTATGTCTACCACCTTTCTTGCCCACCGATCTTCAGACTTCTCATATAGCTTCTATGGTGGGGTACTGAACCTATGCTAACAAACTATTTTTACAGCGCATTCATCAAATGCACCAAGACATTGCATACGGATACCCGTCCGAGGTAGTGTCCCTGGGCGCTTCCCCGAGATGTGCCGTGCAGGGCATGTATGTCCCGGGAAAGTTGATTGCTGTGCAGGGCCATCCCGAATTCAGAGAAGATATCATATCCGAGATCATCAATATGCGGACTGCGTCTGGTCTCTTCTCGAAAGAACAATCAGAAGATGCCTTGAGTCGCGCAGGTCTCCCACACGACGGCATCGCGATTACCATGGCCTTCCTGAAGTTTTTGATTTGAGCATACCTGACCATATAGAGCGATACTATAATTTCTGCCCGGGTTAATGGCTGATATACATTCATAGCCTGACTCCCCGATAAACTTCATCTCAAGCGACGCACATAGATAGATCAAGAATAGGAATCATATCTTTTTATCCACTAAAGATGCAAATGGTTAAAACCTCAAACCCAAGCGCATCTAGCCAGATGACCATAAACGATGGGTATAGAGCGACCTATGGAAATCAGAGACACCGAAATGCAAACGCTCAAAATCGACAAACCCTCCGAACCAAGCAACAAGCCAAATCCAAATAAAACAAGCACAGCACCACATCACCCCGAAGCCGACGGATCCTCCCTCTCCAAAAACGTCGGATCCATCTCGACCTTCCTCTCAAACTTCGTCCACCAATCGCGAAAAGTCTTCAACGGAACAGTTTCCTGTCCTCGATTACTGGGATCCTCGGACGCAAAGCTGGCCAAGAAATTAAACGCATTGCCGATAATCCTCTGCGCCAGCACCTTTGTAGTAATTTCCTTCTGTTGTCGGTTATGTCGTACCAACTCCAGCGACTGGCCCGCGCCACCACCAGCCTGTTCCGCCTCCAGCGCAGCAATCTGCTGTGCAACAGCCTGAACAGGTTCAAGCGAGATGCCCAACGTCACCATTGGTGCTGCGCCGGCCATCGCATTGCCATTTTGTAGTCCTGGGATTTGCGGCGCCTGGACTTTAAGAATCGCAGAGGGTCTCTCGTTCGCTAGCGCTCCGATAAACTTGAACTGGGGTGCGTTATTCGGATCAGGGAATTGAATGTAAATAGCAGCGGCGGTATCGGGCGGGAGGACGGTGCCGGGGAGGAAGAAGACGACGAGTTCGGTGAGTTTGGGCGGGAGGGGGAAATTGAAGGCGAATTTTGTGGTTTGGCCGTTTGGTTGTGTTTCGACGGCGACGATGTCTGTGAGGCACGGATGGTCTGGTATGATGACGGAGAACATGGTGGGCAATTGATGATGATGATGATGATGATGATGACGAATTAGGAGTGTTGTATTGTATAGAGCATGTAGATCAGATCTCGATCTGGTTGGAGTGGTTGATTCTTGATGGTGTATTGTTATAGCTGGACTAGAACAGATCGGAGGGAATTGCGACGCATGGCTTAAAAGGGTTGTTTCTTTGGAGCTTCTCCGGGAGGTGGAGAAAGAAGCTAGCTAGACCAGCCTTTTGAAGAATTTCCTGGCGCGTTCCATGATGGAATCCCAAAGAAAGACTCGGTGACGAAATACCCGTCTTCTGGCTATTGCCCTTATCGATAAGGGTTCCCTTCCCGCCCGCCGCGCTCTAGGCTGGTTGAAGAACATCCCGTTGGTAGGGGGGGTCCCATCCCCGCGGCTGACTTTTGTGATTGTTGTTGTTGGTGATAGACTCACTAGACAGCAGGCTTTGTATATATACGTCTTTTGTTCATACACTGTTCTGGCATCATGGGCAAGTCAAATCTTGAATTGGTTATCGAGTGCGATAGGTATTTATCGTCCATTTTCCCTCGTCCCGATCGCTTGGATTCTAATCGTCAGATCCGCATGGCAGATTTCCGTACTACCAAGATAGCCCCGCATCCTATCTTGAACATCTGAAGAACTATCATGTTTTCAAGGTCGCCGGCTGTGATGCTACTCTCGGATATATTCTGAATTCGACAGTAGAGCGATTCGACTTGCCCTCGGAATGGTGGGCAATTGACTCCGGCAACCGGAGCGTCACCCTCCTTGCTCCGGCCGATGCGACTCCTCAACAGCGCAGCGAGATTATGGCCAAGACGTTGAATAAAGCGGTGGAGCTGGGAACATTTGACGTTCTCAAAGGATGGCGCAATGAGATGTATCCTATCTATGGACCAGGAGGTAAATTCCTCCTGGAAATGGAACGATCTGCTACCCCGCTATTCGGTGTCGTTTCGTACGGCGTACACTCGACCGTTTACGTGGAGGACGAGAATGGTCTACGCATCTGGGTGCCCAGGCGTTCGAGAACGAAGCAGACATACCCCGGTATGCTTGATAACTCCGTGGCGGGTGGAATGAGCACCACGGAGCACCCGTTCGAATGTCTTGTCCGTGAGGCGATGGAGGAAGCGTCTCTGCCGGAAGACGTTGTCAGGGCAAATGCCACTCCGGCCGGATGTGTTACGTACACGTATGTCCGGAGTGCAAAGGCTGGAGGCGAAACGGACCTGGTGCAGCCGGAGGTCGAATATATCTTCGATGTTAAGGTTGGGGCTGATATTATCCCCAAACCGTGCGACACCGAAGTCGAAGAGTTCAAGCTTTTCACTATCGAAGAGACGAAGCAGGCATTGGCTAATGGGGAGTTCAAGCCCAACTGTGCCGTTGTCTTGATCGATTTCTTCGTCCGACACGGTATTTTGACAGCGGAGAACGAGCCGGACTATCTTGAAATCATCGCACGGATGCATCGGCGCTTGGAGTTCCCGACCGCATCACACGTGACGGTATAGATTACGGCTGACTCGCATATATGGAATCAGAAATGTGTTGTGAAGCAAGATTTAATGTTCTATTTGATATACCCTATCACCAATCAAACGCCGGCGCTGCAATCAAAGTACCCCAAGCATGCAAAAGACTTTTCTGACTATCCGAGACAGAACGGGCTAACGCCTCAGACCTTCTGAACACTATATGTGATGGTCGTGAAAGTTCTTTTTTGTCTATTTCTTCAGGAGCAGATACACGTAGTCGATCCTCAAGGGTGCCAGCTTCTTGTAAGGACCTTCGAGGTAAAGCAAAAGACCACCGAAAGAGATGAAAACGGCCCTAGACGCGAATTTAGTTAGCTGTTGTACAAAGAGCGGCAAAGAAGTCCGCAGCAGACCGCGATCCGCGACACATGGGATAATCTTACATGTTACCCTGGCTGGAACCCTCCTCAAAGCGGTAAACCTTGCCATGGCAGACATAATCGTAGTCATTCGCCAAGGTCTGCTCGCCCATTCCAACCTCTCTCCAGCCCTTCGAACCGGAGTCGTCCTTGCCATCCAGAGAAAGCGTCGAGGCCAGAGCCATGTTCAGCGACTCGTTAACAACGCAGGGGTAAAGCTCGGAGTTGACATCGAGAGTGAAGTGCGAAAGGGTGTCGGTCGAGTTGCAGCTCAGACGCGAAACACGGTCATATTTCTGGGAGTTGATCGCGGTGATCGTGAAGGTGTCTTCGAAGAGTAACGGGTCGGACATGGTTGCGATGGTGGCTTTGAAGCGTTCAATTGAATCGCAAAAATGTATAGGATACCGGCTTTTACGCAAAAGACGGTAGTCGGGAAGGGACAAGACGTGCGCTGGCAACAAGCTGATGTGGTGGTCGTGGTAGCGCCAGAAAGAGGTGAAAGCGAAGAAGTCGAGGGCGGACAGCTTTTTTGCTCGACTTTTAGCGCGGCGCCGCTTTTACTTTCCCGGAGCTGCCCCGCAGCAAATCTTCAAAGTATTCCCGTTCGGATCATTGCATTCCAATCATTCTACCAACTTACACGATGTCTTTTCGCAAGAGAAATATTGGTCTTTCGGCAGGTGCTGATCGCACTGGTGCTGTTAATGCTAACGCACAGCCACAGCAGGCTCCTGCGACGCCAGAATTGACTCCCGGCGTTCGCCCCTCCCCCGATGATGGGCGGCCGACTACTTCCACTGGTACTCCGTCGCTGGATAACCTTTTGGCTGGGCATGGAGGTCTTCCCATAGGGAAGACGCTATTGATTGAGGAGAATGGGACTACAGACTTTGCGGGTGCATTGCTAAGATACTATGCGGCAGAGGGTGTGGTACAAGATCAAAAGATTCATGTCGTGGGAATGCCTGAACAATGGGGAAGGAGTCTTCCGGGCCTCTTAGGTCCGGCTGATGCTGTTGATGACAAGCAAGATAAACGGAAAGGAGAGCGCATGAAGATCGCTTGGCG